TAGTCTAGTCTATAGTCTAGTCTATAGTCTAGTCTATAGTCTAGTCTATAGTCTAGTCTATAGTCTAGTCTATAGTCTAGTCTATAGTCTAGTCTATAGTCTAGTCTATAGTCTAGTCTATAGTCGAGTCTATAGTCTAGTCTATAGTCTAGTCTATAGTCTAGTCTATAGTCTAGTCTATAGTCTAGTCTATAGTCTAGTCTATAGTCTAGTCTATAGTCTAGTCTATAGTCTAGTCTATAGTCTAGTCTATAGTCTAGTCTATAGTCTAGTCTATAGTCTAGTCTATAGTCTAGTCTATAGTCTAGTCTATAGTCTAGTCTATAGTCTAGTATAGTCTAGTCTATAGTCTAGTCTATAGTCTAGTCTATAGTCTAGTCTATAGTCTAGTCTATAGTCTAGTCTATAGTCTAGTCTATAGTCTAGTCTATAGTCTAGTCTATAGTCTAGTCTATAGTCTAGTCTATAGTCTAGTCTATAGTCTAGTCTATAGTCTAGTCTATAGTCTAGTCTAGTCTAGTCTAGTCTATAGTCTAGTCTATAGTCTAGTCTATAGTCTAGTCTATAGTCTAGTCTATAGTCTAGTCTATAGTCTAGTCTATAGTCTAGTCTATAGTCTAGTCTATAGTCTAGTCTATAGTCTAGTCTATAGTCTAGTCTATAGTCTAGTCTATAGTCTAGTCTATAGTCTAGTCTATAGTCTAGTCTATAGTCTAGTCTATAGTCTAGTCTATAGTCTAGTCTATAGTCTAGTCTATAGTCTAGTCTATAGTCTAGTCTATAGTCTAGTCTATAGTCTAGTCTATAGTCTAGTCTATAGTCTAGTCTATAGTCTAGTCTATAGTCTAGTCTATAGTCTAGTCTATAGTCTAGTCTATAGTCTAGTCTATAGTCTAGTCTATAGTCTAGTCTATAGTCTAGTCTATAGTCTAGTCTATAGTCTAGTCTATAGTCTAGTCTATAGTCTAGTCTATAGTCTAGTCTATAGTCTAGTCTATAGTCTAGTCTAGTCTATAGTCTAGTCTATAGTCTAGTCTATGTCTAGTCTATAGTCTAGTCTATAGTCTAGTCTATAGTCTAGTCTATAGTCTAGTCTATAGTCTAGTCTATAGTCTAGTCTATAGTCTAGTCTATAGTCTAGTCTATAGTCTAGTCTATAGTCTAGTCTATAGTCTAGTCTATAGTCTAGTCTATAGTCTAGTCTATAGTCTAGTCTATAGTCTAGTCTATAGTCTAGTCTATAGTCTAGTCTATAGTCTAGTCTATAGTCTAGTCTATAGTCTAGTCTATAGTCTAGTCTATAGTCTAGTCTATAGTCTAGTCTATAGTCTAGTCTATAGTCTAGTCTATAGTCTAGTCTATAGTCTAGTCTATAGTCTAGTCTATAGTCTAGTCTATCTATAGTCTAGTCTAGTCTATAGTCTAGTCTATAGTCTAGTCTATAGTCTAGTCTATAGTCTAGTCTATAGTCTAGTCTATAGTCTAGTCTATAGTCTAGTCTATAGTCTAGTCTATAGTCTAGTCTAGTCTAGTCTGTAGTCTGGTCTATAGTCTAGTCTATAGTCTAGTCTATAGTCTAGTCTATAGTTTAGTCTTTAGTCTAGTCTTTAGTCTAGTCTTTAGTCTAGTCTTTAGTCTAGTCTTTAGTCTAGTCTATAGTCTAGTCTATAGTCTAGTCTATAGTCTAGTCTAGAGTCTAGTCTATAGTCTAGTCTATAGTCTAGTTTATAGTCTAGTCTATAGTCTAGTCTATAGTCTAGTCTATAGTCTAGTCTGTAGTCTGGTCTATAGTCTAGTCTATAGTCTAGTCTATAGTTTAGTCTTTAGTCTAGTCTTTAGTCTAGTCTTTAGTCTAGTCTTTAGTCTAGTCTTTAGTCTAGTCTATAGTCTAGTCTATAGTCTAGTCTATAGTCTAGTCTAGAGTCTAGTCTATAGTCTAGTCTATAGTCTAGTCTATAGTCTAGCCTATAGTCTAGTCTATAGTCTAGTCTGTAGTCTAGTCTATATGAATATAAAAAACTGTAATGTGTTTTGTTGAATAAAATCTTATTGTTGAAACTTTGCTAGAATATATATGTACATAAACCGAAACTTTTCTCATAAATTTCGAAAATCGTTTTCAGTAAACATAAATAAAATTAATTTAATTTTTCTGTTTTCTTAAAAACATCGAAGAATTTTTGTACTTGAAATACATTTTTTATTCTCAAACCAAATTTTCCAAATAAAAAAGAAAAAAATATGTTTGCAATAGTCTGGTTATACTTGTAGTAAGTGTTATTAACATTTGTTTTAAATAAGCACGTTTTTTAAATGTTGATACTACGACTGAATGACGATAAATTGTAACTGGAGTCAAATAAGTTTATCTTCTACTTTTACTATAAACAATTGTATAAATTTCAAATTCGAGAGTAGGTACTATTGAGAATGGTCGTCAACATTAAATACGCAAAAAGTACAAGAAGAAAAGAACAAAGAAAACGTAATTAATATTCCCACGCTTTGCATTTAGTTGCGATTTAAATGAAATAAGTTTTTGATGATTATTGGTAGTAGACGAACAACAACAGAATTTATATCACAGATTGTTTGTTATTGAATACGAACATTGGAAATCTTAAGGGGCCTATGTTCTATTGCGAATTCGGAAAAATAATAAATATTGTTTTTAACCACATTTTTATTTAGAGTACAAAAGAAGAACCATTACTTTTTACATGATAAATTAACATTACCCAAATTTATCTGAGGTTAATCTGAATATTAGACATTTTTATAGAATAATTCCTATTACATAACTGTTTTTGTCACATGTTCGATTATTTTCATTTGACCGCCACTTTTCCAAAAATAAAAGAAAAACTTTAGAACTGATTTAAATTATCGCTAAAGAGGTGTTTGTTTATGTTTTTATATTTTGTTCTAATGATAGTCTTTTGAATGGTGCTAAATTATTAATTCTTTAAATGTGATACCATATAACAAAATTAAGAATTGATCCAACATTTTGTCTCTTGATAGTCTGTCGTAGAAGTCTGTTAAATCTCTACATCAGTTAATGAAATTTGAAACACAGTCGTATTTCTGAAAATTTGTAAAATCTACAAATATCTTACCAAATATCTCCGATTAATAAGTAGCCGAGGCATTACACCAAGTCTGATACAATGGTGGATCCAAATTATTTGAAATCAACTCAGAAAAATTTTTACTTAACCGGTAAATAGGCATGCAATATTGGAGCAAAGTGTAAGTACTTACCTTTTGGATAAATAACTACTTATTTTTGTTCGACAATGAGCAATAAATAATTGGTTACAAATGTACTTACTCGACCTCCCCGGATTTACAACTGGCTTTATTGTTATTTTCTGTGTTTGTTAGAGTTATCATGATTAAGTAAGTGCTTACTCAATACTCTATTAAGTTTTTTCGTGCTCCTAATATTGACCAGGGTTAGAACCATTGACTGATTCCTCATTAGACATATGCTCTACACAATTGGCTACCAGTCATTAACTACCAAGTTATGTATGAAATAACTACATTATCTAGATTACTAATTACCAAAATTTGAAATATTTTCCTGGGGAAATCAATTCAATTTCGAAAATGATAGTGTATATGTTTTGGAACGGTGTAGTCAGTTAGTTCGTTAGTTAGATAGTTAGTTAGTTAGTTAGTTAGTTAGTTAGTTAGATAGTTAGTTAGTAGTTAGTTAGTTAGTTAGTTAGTTAGTTAGTTAGTTAGTTAGTAGTTAGTTAGTTAGTTAGTTAGTTAGTTAGTTAGTTAGTTAGTTAGTTAGTTAGTTAGTTAGTTAGTTAGTTAGTTAGTTAGTTAGTTAGTAGTTAGTTAGTTAGTTAGTTAGTTAGTTAGTTAGTTAGTTAGTTAGTTAGTTAGTTAGTTAGTTAGTTAGTTAGTTAGTTAGTTAGTTAGTTAGTTAGTTAGTTAGTTAGTTAGTTAGTTAGTTAGTTAGTTAGTTAGTTAGTTAGTTAGTTAGTTAGTTAGTTAGTTAGTAGTTAGTTAGTTAGTTAGTTAGTTAGTTAGTTAGTTAGTAGTTAGTTAGTTAGTTAGTTAGTTAGTTAGTTAGTTAGTAGTAGTTAGTTAGTTAGTTAGTTAGTAGTTAGTTAGTTAGTTAGTTAGTTAGTTAGTTAGTTAGTAGTTAGTTAGTTAGTTAGTTAGTTAGTTAGTTAGTTAGTTAGTTAGTTAGTTAGTTAGTAGTTAGTTAGTTAGTTAGTTAGTTAGTTAGTTAGTTAGTTAGTTAGTTAGTTAGTTAGTTAGTTAGTTAGTTAGTTAGTTAGTTAGTTAGTAGTTAGTTAGTTAGTTAGTTAGTTAGTTAGTTAGTTAGTTAGTAGTTAGTTAGTTAGTTAGTTAGTTAGTTAGTAGTTAGTTAGTTAGTTAGTTAGTTAGTTAGTTAGTTAGTTAGTTAGTTAGTTAGTTAGTTAGTTAGTAGTTAGTTAGTTAGTTAGTTAGTTAGTTAGTTAGTTAGTTAGTTAGTTAGTTAGTTAGTTAGTTAGTTAGTTAGTTAGTTAGTTAGTTAGTTAGTTAGTTAGTTAGTTAGTTAGTTAGTTAATTCCATTCCTAGCCCCCCAACAAGTTACCCCTACAACTGTTCCTTCACACATCATTGAATAACGAAAATGATGGTCAGCTTAAGTTAGTATTTTTACGGTGATTCATACGAATATCACTTATATGACTTGAACACATTAACCTCAATTTATTTTGCAATAGGCCGTCTCAGCGATAAATAATTTTCTTACGCCTATTTTCCATTTGACTCTTCGGTTCTCAGTAGGTTAAAGAAGCTGCACTACCATAAGATTTCTACAAAAAAAGAAGAATACAGAATCAAATAGCGGTTTAATGCATGCTAGTATTTAATGCAATTCTTCATACGAGTGAAGATCACGTCTTAAATGTGGTGTGAAAAAATCATTAATATAAAAAGAAGTGCATGCTAAAACCTCATTTATTAGTGTCAATTCTTGCAAATACGCTAAAACAACTAGAGTAATTTGCCCAACAACAACATCATCCACATCAACATGAACAAATTCATTGTAAGTAGAAAAAAATGTAATGGGTGAAATGAAAATATGTAGTAAAAAAAGTAAATGTAAAAGGAAATAGATAAAATATGGTTGCACTTTTACACACAAGGAACGAGAAATGGTCATCATTTATTTCCGTTTAAAGACCGTTAGAGAAAGTAAATAAAGTTGAAAATATACTGTAGAGCTAATGGAATTTGTGGGCGTATAGGTGATAGGCTGGGAAATGTATGTGGGCTGTATTACAATTTCCCTTTGTGTATATTAAACTAATGTGTATTTTCTCTTTCTTTCTCTCTTCCTGTTACAGTCCTTCGCTTTTGTAGTTTGCACCTTGGCAGCTTCAGTCCACTGCAGCAGTTATGGTAGTTATGGTGGCTCTGCCCCCGCCAGTGCTTATAATGCCAACTCTTATGTATTAGGACCTGGCCCAGTGGTTTATGCTCCTCCTGCCGCCTATCCAGCTGCTTCTGCTTACCCTGCACCTCCAGCTCCTTCATATCCTGCAGCCAAACCCAAATACACCATACAACCAGCTTACTCTCATGAGTTGTATCCCGGTCAAAATAACTACAAAAGTTATCACTCAGCCCCTGTTTACAGCCAAGTGGCTTTGCCCATTGTACCCTCCTCTCCCGTAGCTAAATTGTACGTGCCTGCCCAACAATCGTATGCTTCAGCGCCCAGTTACGGTGGTAGTGGTTATTAAGAGGGTTTGTTTTGAAACCCCTTTTAAATCTACAGGGTAGTGTTTGAACACAAAATATTTTTAATTATATTCGGCACCAGTTTTTCGAAAAAAAGTGTAAATAATTTCGGTTTGTTAATTTTTTGTATAAATACTTAAACGTTGTTTTAAAACGTTGCAAAATTTTTGGAAAAATATTTTTTTGGTTAAAATTTATTTATTTATAATTTTTGTTTAAAAAGCATTCAAAATTCTAAATTATTTTGTTGTTAACAAAAGAAAAGTGAGTGAGAAAAAGTAGTATAAGCATTTAACTTGCATACAGTGAATAAAAAAATAAAATTGTAAAAAATTAAACAAATTTAAACTTTTTATTATTATTTGTAAATGTCAGCAAAATGTTAAATTTTATTAAAGTTTTTTGCATTACTTTTATTATTTTCAATTTCAGTATTTGTTGCTTTCCATGCCATTTTTTTGCTGATAATTCATAAATAAGTTAAAAAATATTATTTCTTGGTTTCATTGAAAATTGGTTTTGTTGCTCCGGTTTTTTCCATTATATTTAGCCAAGTTTATTGCATAATGAAAGTAAAGAAATAATAATAATAATTTGATAAACCACAAATGAAATGTTTAAGTTCTTCAATTGTATTGAAATTTGAGATAAATAGTTTCATAAGTGAATTTATCTAAATTTGATTAGAATGGTCAAAGAAACTTAGAAACGTAGAATTAAGCAGGGTAACCAAAAATAATTGTCTCTTCTTGAGTCCAACAAAATTAAAATTATCGTCCAATATTTGGAAATCCTGTTTCCTGAAAGTCTTTTTGAGGGATGTAATATCTGGAATAATATTGTTACAAAAATATTTTGATCCAATAACCAACAATAGAATGGCAATAAGAGAGTGACTGTTATAGCGTTTCCTTATCTTCTCACCGAACTCTACATTACTCACCGATAAACCATACTAATTTCGGACATAGGATTTTAGTGGTTCTAGTTTTCGTTCCTATATTCCGAGTAGACTATGAGATTCTCTCACCTATGGTTTTAATTCAGCCCTCATTGCGTAAACTCGCTTCCCCTTACTGTAAGTGGTCTGGTATACAAATGATGCAGAGTCTAAAATTGGAAGACTGTTCGATTATTGGCTCTCTTACAGTCAGAATATACATACATATATCTTTATTTCAAAGATAACTGAATAACTGAACATTCAAACTTCTATTGATGAAAGAGGCTTGTATGTATGTATGTATAATATGCTGTACCGTTTCATGTACGATCTGATAAAGCGTCCAAGCATATAGTCTCCTTTTTCAAACATTTTTTATGAAATACGAAACAGAGCTCGATTTTTGTTTGTTTCCCATTTGTTGTTGTTCTTCTTTACAACATTTTCGCTCGTTCTGGAACCCATATCAAGTCTAATATGTCTTGTTTAAGTTGATACAGAGAGTGAGTGCAATTAAGAACACAATTCCAGAAGTACTAAACACTCCTTTCGCGGCAAATTTGATGGCTCACTGGAGCTATTCCTAAACCTATAGCTGTAAAGGGTTTTAAATCGTTAGTGAGAACGCGTCGTTTTAAACTACAGTACAGCGTTACAAAAACCCTCAAACAAATATATCTGTATTACCCAAATACAACTGCAATATCTGGTTGTTGTTACCCAATAAACATCGATTCAAACCTGTGAATATTTTTGAAAATTTTCTTAACTAAATAATGTATTTTCCAAATTGTTTTCAAATTTTAAAGTTTAGCCTTTGAAATAAACATGATAATTTCAAAAAACGTCAAAAAAATATAATATGTGATATTTATAAAATTTTCAAAGTTTTGTTTTAATTGAACTTAGAAAAGTTTCTTTCAAAAAATAAATTATTTTAGAAAAATAAAAACAGAACATTTTTTCTACAGCAAGGGAGCGAAAAAACGTTAAATATAGGAGAAATAATCGGAGATATAAAAGAAAAATATGCTAAAATAAATGTATGAATGTTTTATTTTCAGGTGATGTAAAAAAATATATGAATTTTGCAATAGTTAGCATTATAATTAGGGTTTGAAATATGTATGAAAATAATAATAAAGAATACTTGAAATACGTTTGAAATTTTTTTAGTTTCAAGCTTACCTCTAGCCTTTTTTTAAATTTGAAATACATTTGAAAAATACGTTTGATTTCTAACTGCCTTTTTGTTTGAGAAGGCCATAATTTTCCATTTGAAAACAAAAATTTTCAAATTTGTTCTCAAAGGCTATGTATGAAATTTGAATAGGTTTTCAAATACATATTTATATAATTTCAAAGGTTTTTGCTTATTGGGTATTTTTTAGGTTTTTATTTATAATTTTTTGAAGAAATTTTTGGAGGTGGTCTCAGATTTTGCTCATATCTCAGTTATTTATGGACCGATTTTGCAGATTTTCAATAGAAAGCATGTCTAACAGAATTATTAAAGACTTGGATCCTGAAAATATCTGTCGTCTTTAGTAAATTATATTTCAGACAGACAGACGTACATGGATCGACTTCGCTATCTATATGTATCCAGAATATACATATGTATATACTTTATAAATATTTTGTAGAAATTACAATCGGAATGACAATTTTTTTTCTACATAATCGGTGTGATCGCATTTTACAGTATTTGGCTCAGAGAATCAATCCAAAAGCACTTCAAGGGATAGTTTTCAGACAAAGAGTATAAATTCAGACTTTGCGGGATTGACTTACTACATTATCTACATAATTTTGTATTTAGTATTTAGATAAGATATGCTACAGATCACAAATCTTGTTATTAAAACCCATCAATAATATTTTATATTTTCGGTTTTCCCGCTGTAAGTTAAATAAATTTACAAGTTTCATGATTACATTAAGTATTTGTTAAAAACTTCGTTTTTCCCCAGCAGTCACTCCTACAGATAAATAGTTATTAATCAACAACTATACTATCATAAATATAGTGAGTAGACATTCAATATCATAATACCAAGTATTTGGTATGAGATTAGCTCAAACAATATGTATTAAGTAGTTTTCAAATTAAGTATTATGTTACTAGATAGTATTTTGATTCAAAGTAGAGGAAAATCACTTGTTGAATGGCTTTATAACAAGAAAAAGTAAAACAACCCAGCAAAAACTTACATTAAAACGCGCTCTTCACAACTTTTTCATTAGCATTTTAACTTATTATTTTAGTTTTCTGAACGCCTCTAATATCTTCTGGATCCAAATCATGAACAATTCTATCAGACATGCTTCCAAGAAGTTTCCCATTTAAGTTAGTTAGTTAGTTAGTTAGTTAGTTAGTTAGTTAGTTAGTTAGTCAGTCAGTCAGTCAGTCAGTTAGTTAGTTAGTTAGTTAGTTAGTTAGTTAGTTAGTTTGTTAGTTAGTTAGTTAGTCAGTCAGTCAGTCAGTCAGTTAGTTAGTTAGTTAGTTAGTTAGTTAGTTAGTTAGTTAGTTAGTTAGTTAGTTAGTTAGTTAGTTAGTTAGTTAGTTAGTTAGTTAGTTAGTTAGTTAGTTAGTTAGTTAGTTAGTTAGTTAGTTAGTTAGTTAGTTAGTTAGTTAGTAGTTAGTTAGTTAGTTAGTTAGTTAGTTAGTTAGTTAGTTAGTTAGTTAGTTAGTTAGTTAGTTAGTTAGTTAGTTAGTTAGTTAGTTAGTTAGTTAGTTAGTTAGTTAGTTAGTTAGTTAGTTAGTTAGTTAGTTAGTTAGTTAGTTAGTTAGTTAGTTAGTTAGTTAGTTAGTTAGTTAGTTAGTTAGTTAGTTAGTTAGTTAGTTAGTTAGTTAGTTAGTTAGTTAGTTAGTTAGTTAGTTAGTTAGTTAGTTAGTTAGTTAGTTAGTTAGTTAGTTAGTTAGTTAGTTAGTTAGTTAGTTAGTTAGTTAGTTAGTTAGTTAGTTAGTTAGTTAGTTAGTTAGTTAGTTAGTTAGTTAGTTAGTTAGTTAGTTAGTTAGTTAGTTAGTTAGTTAGTTAGTTAGTTAGTTAGTTAGTTAGTTAGTTAGTAGTTAGTTAGTTAGTTAGTTAGTTAGTTAGTTAGTCTAAAATTGGAAGACTGTTCGATTATTGGCTCTCTTACAGTCAGAATATACATACATATATCTTTATTTCAAAGATAACTGAATAACTGAACATTCAAACTTCTATTGATGAAAGAGGCTTGTATGTATGTATGTATAATATGCTGTACCGTTTCATGTACGATCTGATAAAGCGTCCAAGCATATAGTCTCCTTTTTCAAACATTTTTTATGAAATACGAAACAGAGCTCGATTTTTGTTTGTTTCCCATTTGTTGTTGTTCTTCTTTACAACATTTTCGCTCGTTCTGGAACCCATATCAAGTCTAATATGTCTTGTTTAAGTTGATACAGAGAGTGAGTGCAATTAAGAACACAATTCCAGAAGTACTAAACACTCCTTTCGCGGCAAATTTGATGGCTCACTGGAGCTATTCCTAAACCTATAGCTGTAAAGGGTTTTAAATCGTTAGTGAGAACGCGTCGTTTTAAACTACAGTACAGCGTTACAAAAACCCTCAAACAAATATATCTGTATTACCCAAATACAACTGCAATATCTGGTTGTTGTTACCCAATAAACATCGATTCAAACCTGTGAATATTTTTGAAAATTTTCTTAACTAAATAATGTATTTTCCAAATTGTTTTCAAATTTTAAAGTTTAGCCTTTGAAATAAACATGATAATTTCAAAAAACGTCAAAAAAATATAATATGTGATATTTATAAAATTTTCAAAGTTTTGTTTTAATTGAACTTAGAAAAGTTTCTTTCAAAAAATAAATTATTTTAGAAAAATAAAAACAGAACATTTTTTCTACAGCAAGGGAGCGAAAAAACGTTAAATATAGGAGAAATAATCGGAGATATAAAAGAAAAATATGCTAAAATAAATGTATGAATGTTTTATTTTCAGGTGATGTAAAAAAATATATGAATTTTGCAATAGTTAGCATTATAATTAGGGTTTGA